TGTTTAATTAAGTTTTAGATTTGGTATATTAATAATAATATTATATACATAAATTAAAATTAAATGCAAATCCACATAAATGTAAAAAAAAATTATTTATTGGTAAAATAAGTTTGAATTTGTTGGTTTATAGTATCTAAAGTAAATTATTCACATCCGAATTTATTTACAGATACTCATGAACCAGCCATTATACCAACAGGAAATGCTTTGCGTACATTAAAATGGCGAAATCTATCAAGAAATAAAAGGCATAAAGATGTAATAACTTCACTGGCACTGATGAAAAATGAAAACGAATTTAAAAATATTTTACACGATATGGGATCCGAACCATTTTTTCTTCATTACCATTGTCCTGAACAGATTCATGTTTATAGAAGCTACACTAGACATTCCTCATACCCTAAACTCATTATTGATGCTACTGGTTCAGTGATCAAAAACTTTGAAAAATTTGGTATTCATAAAACAAAGTCTATATACTTGTATGAAGCATTGGTATACGATGAAACAAAACATCATAGTTTTACGGTATCAAATATGATAAGTGAACGACACAATACACTTGCTATATTTAATTGGCTGGCAAAATGGTTAAGTAGCGATGTCTCTCCTCCTAAAGAAGTAGTGTGTGATCAATCTGTGGCATTGATGTCAGCAATCGTTCAATGTTTCACACAATATTCTTCTCTTAATCAATATTTGCTCATTTGTGCTGAATTAACCTTAGGTAAATTGTCTTGTGATTCACACTGGCTACCAAATTGTTTCCTGAGATCAGATGTGGCACATTTTGTTAAGTTGGTCAGTAAATGGGTCCCATTAAAATCTATACCTAAAAGAGTAAGAGAAGTTATTTTACGCAGTATATGTGCAATCATAAAGAGACAGTGCATTAAAGAAATACATTCTATTCTCTTATCATTATTTATTGTGTTAACAAACGAAACGGACGGGGCTGATATAGAAACAAGACAAGATACACCATGCGAAAAACATAAAAAACATTTATTGCAGATCACATCTTCTGGTTTTATTGACTTTGAACAACAGTTCAATGAAATAATGGCAGAGTGTGAGTTAGAGGATAATGACCGTACATTGCTAGAGCAGGAAAACACACTGCACTTTGATGGACTTGATTGTGAGAAGAATCCTTTTAAGAATTGGGCTGAAGACATTCTTAAAACAAGTCAAGAAAAAATTCGAGAAGGCTGTGGCTACAACGCGATGTATTTACCATCCATAGTACCACTTATAATAAAATCAGTAAATTTGCTACCTTTGTGGTCAGGCTTGATGATTCCAATTTTTAAATACGGAAATCCAACATCAAGTTCTGCAAGCGTTGAATCCAGTTTTAAAAAGCTGAAAACAGTTACATTCAAAGACATAACCCTCCCCACAAACATAGAAGTGTTCTTAGAACGTCACATTATTTCTTTGAAAGGATCTGCTCTTTTTCGTTCCGCTACTCATAAAACTGTAGAAAGTTTTCTAGATATAGATAATGTTGTGAACCATGATACCAATAAGGACCTTTTATGCATTCCTAATAAAGACAATAGTCCAAAATACAACCAATTAAATGATGAAGCAAATATTAGTAGTAATTTGTGTGAAGACGAATACATAGTAGTTAATGAATGTAATATTAAGGATATCTTAAATTCAGATAATGAACCAACACGTAAGAAAAAAAATGATATTGAAAATAATGCCGAAGAGTTCTGGAACCGAAGTTCGAAAAAACAACG